ACAACTAGATAGTGCCTGCGTACTACCACTGACTACTCTGACAGGGATCACAATAGAGGGTCCCAGACAGAGCTGGAGAAAAATGTAGAACAAAATTGTAACTCACAAAAAAAGACCAAACTTACTGGTCTGACAGAGACTGGAGAAACCCCAAGAGTATGGCCCCTAGACACCCTTTTAACTCAGCACTAAAGTCACTCCTGAGATTCACCCTTCAGCCAGAGATTATACAGGCTCATAAAACAAAATGAGACTAAATAGACACACCAGCTCAGGGGCAAGGACGAGAAGGCAGAAGGAGACATGAAAGCTGGTAACAGGGAACCTGAGGTCGAGAGGGGGAAGGTGTTGACATTTCATGGGGTTGGCAACCTATGTCACAAAACAATATATGTATTAATTGTTTAATGAGAAACTAATTTGCTCTGTAAACCTTCATATAAAGTACAATAAAAAAATTTCAATGTCCTTTAGAATTGGATAGTGACCATGGTTGCACAACATGATGAATGTAATTAATGCCACTGAATTGTGCATGTAAAACATACTGGTATGCTAAATGTTTTGTTATATATATACTTATCACATTAAAAAAAATTTTTATCTTTATGTTATAACGATTCAGACAAAATGTTCTGTCCATGATATCTAAGGATATGTGTGGGGTAATAAAATGTGGGAAAATAAAAGAATCCTAAAGAAAAAAAAAGCTAAGGTAAACATTTGCCTGGATTTTCAATACCCTTCAGGCAAAAGTGGCTTTACCTTTCTGCTTACCTCTCTGGGGCAGGGCTTCAAACCTGTTCAAACCCTTTCAGTCATGGCCAATGAAGTGAAACCGAAAGAGATCCAAATGTTTTAAATTTGAGTAATCGTAACCATAACCGGAACGGGAAAAATTGTGAGTCAAAGCCCTCAAATGGGAAACTTGGAAGAGGTGTAACGAGCCCTTTCAGGGGCCTGATTATGAGACTGGATTATTGCCAAGTGAGGAGAGTGACATACATTCAAAGTGGCATGGTCAGCTGGCATCTTTGTTCCAAGCACCGCTGTTTCCAACTCTGCACAGAAACTGACAGGCAAGAGATTTGTTTGCTATGCAACACATTTGCTCCCCTTGTTTTCTAAGAGGGAAATTTAGTTTCTAGCAGGGCTTTGACCCATAATTTCTCCCATTCTGGTTATGGTTCCGGGTCACTTAAAAATTCAGATCTGTTCCGGTGTTGCTTCCTCGGCTGTGAATGAACCAGGAAGAACTGGTTCAAAGCCCTGCTCTGGGATCTCACATTTCCTTAGAGTTTGCCTTGGTAATTCCTTTACTATCTTATCAGCTGCTTTCTTGTTCTTTTAGGAAATTAAAAATTATATATATCTTATCCAACATTTTTGGTTGTTTTTAGCAGGAGGATTGGTCTGACATATCTGGCTCATCTTATTCCCAGAAGTGGAACTTACTGTTTCATTAGCTTTTTAAGAGAGTAGTTCTTAATAAAAAGTTTTCTTAGATTCATGTCTTTTCATTGTAAGTACCCATCAGCCAATATGACTGTGTTAATGATGTTAGTAAAATATGTAAGAACTTCCTATAAGTTTTTTTAGTAATATTTTATAGTGTTTTTGTTGTTCCCATTCAACAATTTCTACACAAGTCGTTCAGTGACATTGGTTACTTTCTTCACAATACGTGAACATTCTCCTTATTTCCATTCTAGTTATTCCTTTCCATTAATCTAGTTTTCCTGTCCCCTTACATTCTCATACTTGTTTTAAAGTAATTGTTGACCATTTGGTCTCATACGGGTGTTTTTTTTTTTTTCTTTTTTAATCGTGCTTTAAGTGAAAGTTTACAGCTCAAGTTAGTTTCTCATACAAAAATTTATACACACATTGTTATGTGACTCTAGTTGCTATCCCTATAATGTGACAGCACACTCCTCCTTTCCACCCTGGATTTCCCGTGTCCATTCAACCAGATCCTATCCCTTTCTGCCTTCTCATCTCGCCTCCGGACAGAAGCTGCCCATTTAGTCTCGTCATACAGGTGATGTTTTAAAGGAGCATAGTACTTATAGGTGATACTCATTATTTTGTGAGCTGGTCTGTTATTTAGCTACGAGGTGACCTCAGGGGTTAGTTTCAGTTCAAGGTTTGAAGAGGATCTCAGGGCAGTAGTCCTCCAGTCTCAATCAGTCCAGTAAGTCTGGGTGTTTTGTTTTGTTTTGTTGTTTTTTGTTTGTTTGTTTTTGTTTTAGGAATTTGAGGTTCTGTTCCTCATTTTTGTCCCATTCTATCAGGGTCCATTTACTGTGACTGATTAGAATGATCAGTAGTGGTAGTTGGACAGTCTAGTTCTTCTGGTCTCAGGGTAGATGAGGCTCTGGTTCATGTAGACTGTTTCTCCTGTAGACTAGATTCTTCCTTGAGTCTTTGGTGTCCTTCTTTCTCTTTTACTCCGGATGAGTAGAGACCAATACTTGTAATCTTAGTTATCTAGTGTTGCTGTAACAGAAATACCACAAGTAGATGGTTTCAACAAAGAGAAGTTTATTCTCTCACAGTCCAGTAGGCTAGAAGTCCAAATTCAGGGCACCGGCTCCAGGGGAAGGCTTTCTTTCTCTGTCAGCTCTGGAGGAAGGTCCTCGTCATCAGTGTTCCCTTGGTCTGGGAGCATCTCAGCGCAGGAACCTCAGGTCCAAAGAACGCACTCTGCTCCTGGCGCTGCTTTCTTGGTGGTATGAGGTCCCCCTGTCTCTCTGCTTGCTTCTCTCTTTTATATCTCAAAAGAGATTGGCTTCAGGCACTATCTAATCTTGTAGAACTCATCAATAAAGCTGCCACTAATCCATCTTATTACGTCATAGTGATAGAATATACAATACATAGGGAAATCACGTCACGTGACAAAAGGTAGACAATTATACAATACTGGGAATGATGACCTAGCCATGTTGACACATATTTTTGAGGGACACAATTCAGTCCATGACAGATGGCCTCTTGCAAACTTTTAAAACCCCAGAGACTGCTAAACTAGAAGGTAGAACATAACTTTATGAACTATATTATGGCAGCTTACCGAGATGATCCATAAGCCTATGATTCTAATCCTTCAAACCCAGAAAACTAATCCCAAGAGTGTTTGGTTCTGTCTAAGAAGTATTTGTAACTGTGCCCCCTATGTGCTTTGTTATATATATGAATATAAGTGCATAAAGTCACATAGATACATATACACATGCATACAGCTATATATGTACACATATATACTCACATATACATACTTATACACATATATACCTACCTACATACATATATACCCACACATATGTTTTGGTTGTTTTTGCTGTTCTTTCAAAATTATATATGCCATAGTAATTACCAATAGGTTCTTTTTTCTTGTGTACATTTTAGTGACATCATTTACTTTCGTCAAACTGTGTACACTTTACCCTCATTCTGTGTTACCTTTCCATCTCCAAAAATAACAAATGTCTACTATCTAGAGAGTGAGTCTCCCTCGCCCCTATCCCTGTTAACGACTAATGAACATTAGTTTCTGTATATTTACCTGTTCACGTCATTTCATAAAAGTGAGAACATACAATTTTTTGTGTGTGATTGACTTACTTCACTCAACATAATATCCTCCAGGTTCATCCATGTTCCAAGATGTTTCAGGAACTCATTTTTCTTTATCACTGAGTAGTATTCCATTGTATGTATGTACCACATTTTACTTATCCATCCACCCACTGATGGACAATTATGTTGTTCCCATCTTTTTGCTATTGTGAATAGTGCTACGATGAACATAGGTGTGCATAAGTCTGTTCAAGTAACTTCTACTAGATCCCTATGGTATATATACCTAGGGGCGGAATTGATGGGTCATATGATAGCTCAACCTCTAGTTTTTGAGAAACAGCCATACTGTTTTCCACAATGGCTGTACCATTTTGCATTCCCACCAGCAATGGATGAGGGTTCTAATTTCTCCATATCACCTACAAGACTTGTTATTTTCCATTTTATTTATTTTCTTTCTTTTTTTATCTTAGCCATCCTAGTGGGAGTGAAATGGTATCTCATCGTGGTTTTAATTTGCGTTTCTCTGATGGCTTAATGATGTTGAGCATCTTTTCATGTGTCTGTTGGCCATTTGAATATCCTATTTGGTGAAGTATCTGTTCCTGTCCTTTGTCCAGTTTTTGATTTGGTTATTTGTCTGTGTGTTGTTAAGCTGTGGAAGTTTTCTATATATTTTAGATGTTGACTCTTGCCAGTTATATCATTCCCAAAGATTTTTCCCAGTCTTTAGATTGTCTCTACTCTTTTAATAAAGTCTTTTGATGAACATAAGTATTTAACTTTTATGAGATCCCAGTTATCTATTTTGTTTTCTGTTGTTTGTTCATTCATCATTGTATTTCATAATCTATCACTGAAAAAAATTAGATCCCAAAGCTTTGCTCCTATATTTTCTTCCAAGAACTTTATGCTTTTAGATTTAACATTTAAGACCTTGATCCATTTTGAATTAGCTTCTGTGTATGGTGTGAGGTATGGATCTTGTTTCAGTTTTCTGCATGTGGAAATCCAGTTTTGCAGTGCCATTTGTTGAAGAGACTGTTCCTTCCTCATTGAATAGATTTGGCTCCCTTGTCGAATATCAACTGACCATAGATGTTTGGATTTATTTCTGGATTGTCAATTCTATTCTACTGGTCTGTGTATATCATTAAACCAGTACCAGCATGTTTTCATTACTGTAGCTGTGTAATATGTTTTGAAGTCAGGAAGTGTAAGGCCCCCTCCTTTGTTCTTCTTCAAAATTGCTTTGGCTATTTGGGGTCTCTTGTCTTTCCATGTAAAATTGAGGATTAGTTTTTCCATTTCTATAAAGAATGCTGTTGGATTTTTAATTGGGATTGTGTTGTATCTGTAGAGAATTTTGGGTTCCTATAGCTTTTATGAAATAGACCCAATGTTTTTCTTTTCAGGCTAAAGAAGCAGTGGCAGAAGCGGAACGACATGATCCTGCAAATATTTTCACTCAGTTTTATGTATTCAAGATTGAAATCTTAGAGGGAAACTCTGACAGAGGTATAAATGTTATTTTTGAGTTATATTTGACTGTTTTTAACACGATGGAATTTAGTGTCTATATTCTGTCCTTCCTATGTAAAGATAATACAACGATACTAAAAGAAACTCTGGAAGTTTACATAGAAAGAGCAGTGGTTACTTGTTAAGGGAATGGGAACCGGGGAGATGTGGGGCAGGAATTGGGGGAAAAGACTTCTCACTGTATACTTTTTTACACTTTCCATAATTTGAACCAGCACACTAAAAAATTAAGTTTAAAAAGCTATGAGGTGATGTGGAGATTTATACTACAAAGCCATATCAGTTAAGAATTGCCTTCAGAGAATGGAGTTCTCCAGAGTACCTTGTGACTATTTTCACTTACTCGGGAGGTGGTTGGTCAGAGATTTGGCCTTGAAATGGAGTTTCTCTCCAAATGGACAGTGTTGGAATTGCACACATGATCTTCATCTCATTGGTTGCTGTGTCCTATCCATAAGTTAAGCCCCCTAACTGGTGTGTCTGCACACACATATGTATCTTGAATTGGTTACCGGTATGTCTATGCTGAAATATTAATCCGCTCAGGGTAACAACAAGCAAATCAAGGAGCAGGCTAAGCCCCAGATATGTTGCCCTTTGTGAAAGAAGTCAAGAAGCATGAATTAATGGAATCAAACAGATTATACTCATCCAAGCAACTATTTATGAACACATATATATGCAAGGGATTGTGCTATATACTCCATAAGAAAAATGGGATAATGAATTCTGCATTGAAAAAGAAATGTTCCAGAATAGTAAAGTATACCTGTATAATAATTATAGAATAGTAAATTGCAGTCAGCTCTGCATCAATATTAATGTTGCTGACATGTCCATCATCAGTGTTTTCACTAAAGACTTCTGGACATTTGTTTTACATGATATAATATGTTGAAGGATAAAAGGGCTTGATATTCTCAGAAGAAATGGCCTTAAAGTATTGATTCCTCATAACTATTTTTTAAAGCATTCTATTAAAATAAAATTATTTTTCTTTTTAACCACAACATAAACTCAACCTTTTTATTTCTTCCTCAGGTTCTGTGACCATTTTTAAAAGTCACTTTTATTGAAGATGCATTCAATAATTCATTCTCATTCATGTATGGTTCTCTGAGGTTTTTTTATATTAATTATTCAAGGAGATTTGACAAATGACAACAGTCATGTAACCACCACCACAATCAAGATATAGAACAAAAAATTCCCTGAGACCCCTTTGATGTCATTCCCTCCCACCATTCTGAGCCCTGGAGACTACTGATCTATCTTCTGTCCCTATGGTTTTGCCTTTTGCAGAATATGATATAAATGCAATCATACGGTATGAAGCTTTTTCAGCCTGACTTCTTTCACTTAGCATAATGCATTTGAAATTCATCCATATTGTTGCATGTATCCATAGTTTGTTCTTTTTTATTGCTGAGTAGTTTTCCATTGTATATATGTACCACAGTTGGTTTATCCATTCACCAGGTGAAGGATATTTGGGTAGTTTCCAGTTTGGATGATTACGAATAAAGGTGTTAACGAACATCTGCATACAGATTTTGTGTGATGATAAGATTTCACTTCTTTAGAGTAAATATCTAGTGGTGGAATTGCTAGGTTGTATGCGAAGTGTATGTTTACGTTTATAAGAAACTGCCAAACTTTTTTCCAAACTGTCTGCAGTTTTGCATTCAAACCAGCAGTGTATGAGAGTTCCCGTTGATCTATATCCTCACCAGCACTTGGAATTATGTGTTTTTTTTTTTTTAATTTTAGCCATTCTAATAGTTGGGAGTGATATATTATGGTGATTTTAATTAACATTTCCATAATGTCTTATATTTGACTTTCATATATCTTATTTTGTGATATGTCTGTACAATTCTTCTGCCCATTCTTCTATAGGGTACTTTGCTTTCTTATTATTCAGTTTTAAAAATTCTTTATATATTCTGAACAGAAGTTCTTTACCAGATATGTGTTTCGAAAATTTTCTTTTTAGTTTCCTTTAACAGCGTCTTTGAAACAGCAAAAGTTTAAAATCTTTACGAAGTCTTACTTGTCATTTTTTTTTCTTTTATAGACTGTACTTTTGGTGTTGTACCTAAGAAATCTTTGCTGAATCCAGGGTTACAAAACAAATTCTCTTATGTTTTCTTCAATAAATTTTACAGTTTTTAAGTTTTACCTTTAGAATTTTGATCCATTTTGAATTAATTTTTGCAAGGTATGAATCGAAGCTCATTTTTTTCATAGTTATCCAATTATTCCAGCACCATTTGTTAAAAAACAAAAACAAGCAAACAAACAAAAAAAAACCAACTGAATTGCCTTTGTACCTTTATCAAAAATCAGTTATCATATGTGTCTGGGTCTCTTTCTGGACTCTCTTTTTGTTTTATTTATCTATCTTTTCACCATTTCTATACTGTTTTGATTAATGTAGCTATGTAATAAATTTGAAATCATGTAGTGTTAGTCCTCCAACTTTGTTCTTTTTCAAAGTTGTTTTGGCTATTCTAATCCTTTTTAAATCCAAATGAATTTTACAATCAGTTTGTCAATTTCTACAAAAACACCTGCTGGAATTTTGATTGGGATTGCATTGAATCTATAGATCAATTTGGGGAGAATTGGCATCTTAAAATTATTGTGTCTTTCAACCCATAAATAAGTTATACACTTCCATTTATTTAGGTCTTCTTTAATTTTTCTCAGTGATGTTTTCTCGTTCTCGGTGTAGTAGTCTTATGTATCTTTTGTCAGATTTATCCCTAAGTGTATCATATTTTATGCTGTTTTAAATGGCATTTTAATTTTTTTCAATTTCTGATAAACTGTTGCTGCTGTTGTTGTTGTTAGGTGCCATTGAGTTGGTTCCGACTCAGCGACCTTATGTACAACAGAACAAAACACTGCCCTGTCCTGCGCCATCCTTGCAATCACTCCTATGCTTGAGCCCATTGTTGCTCCCACTGTGTCAGTCCATCTCGTTGAGGGTCTTCCTCTTTTTTCACTGACCCTCTACTTTACCAGACAGGGACTGATCCCTCCTGACAGCAAGTCCAAAATAGGTGAGATGAAATCTCACCATCCTCCCTTCTAAGGAGCATTCTGGCTGTACTTCTTCCAAGACAGATTTGTTCATTCTTCTGGCAGTCTATGGTATATTCAATATTCTTCACCAATACCATAATTCAAAGGCTTCAATTCTTCTTTGGTCTTCCTTCTTCATTGTGCAGCTTTCATATGCATATGAGGCAATTGAAAATACCATGGCTTGAATCAGGCCCGCCTTAGTCCTCAAAGTGACATCTTTGCTTTTTAACACTTTGAGGAGGTCTTTTGCAGCAGATTTGCCCAAAATATGTCATTTGATTTCCTGACTACAACTTCCATAAGCATTGATTATGGATCCAAGTAAAATGAAATCCTTGACAACATCTATCTTTTCTCCGTTTGTCATGATTTTGCTTATTGGTCCAGTTGTGAGGGTTTTTGTTTTCTTTATGTTGAGATTTAATCCATACTGATGGCTGTGATCTTTGATCTTCATCATAAGTGCTTCAAGTCCTCTTTGCTTTCAGCAAGCAAGGTTGTGTCATCTGTATATCGCAGGTTGTTAATGAGTCTTCCTCCAATCTTGATGCTACATTGCTAGTATGCAGAAATACAAATGATTTTTTTAAATATTTATCTTATATCCTACAAACTTGCTAAATTCACTTATTAGTTCCAGCAGCTTTTTTTGTAGATTCCATCAGAGTTTACATAGATGATCATGTTGTCTACAAATAAAGACAATTTTACTTCTTCCTTTCCAATCTCATTCCATTTTATCTTTTTTTCTTGCCTTATTGTACTTGTCAGAATCGCCAATACAGTGTTGAGTAAAATTGATGAGAAGAGATGTCCTTTTCTTTTTCCTGATTTTAGGAGGAAAGCATTCAGTTTTCTACCATTAAGTATGATGTTAGCTGTAGGTTTTTCATAGATGCCCTTTATCAGGTTAAGGAAGTTCCCTTCTATTTCTAGTTTCCTGGGAGTTTTTATCAGGAATGGATGTTGGATACGGTCAAAGGATTTTTATGCATCCACTGAAATGATCTTTTTTTTAAGTTTGCTAATATGGTTAATTACCTTGACTGATTTTTAATTGTTAAACCAACCCTGCATTCCTGGGATAAACCCCATTTGGTCATTATGTATTCTTTTTTTATATAATGTTAAATTTAATTTGTTACATTTTTTAAAGAATATTTCCGCCTATGTCCCATGTGTAATATTGATCTGTTGTTTTCTTTTTTGTAATGTTTTTGATTTTGCTATGAGGGTAATGCTGGCCTCACAGAATAAATTGGAAAGTATACCCTCCTTTTGAATTTTCTGAAAGAGATTTTGTGAAATTGGTATTATTTCTTCCTTAAATGTTTTGTATAGTGAAACCATCTGGGCCTGGAGTTTTCTTTACGGGAAGGTTTTTAATTATATATTTAAATTCTTTAATAGATATAGGGCTATTCAGGTTATCTATTACTTCTTGACTGAGCTGTGGTAATTTGTGTCTTTCAAGAAATTTGTCCATTTCATCTAAGTTGTCGAACTTATTGGCATTAAGTTGTGCATAATAACCCATTATTATCCTTGTAATATCTGTAAAATCTATAGTGATGTCACCTTTCTCATTCCTGATGTTTGTAATTTGTGTCTTTTCTATTTTTTTCCTCGTCTGCCTGGCTAGATGTTGATTAACTTTATTATTTTATCAGAGAACCAGCTTTTGGTTTCATTGATCTTTCACTATTGTTTCTTCTGTATTCTATTTCATTATTTACATTCGGATCTTTATATTTTTTTTCCATTTTTCAAAAATGAAAGCTGGGGTCATTAATTTGAGAGCTTTTTCTATTTTTTTCTTCTAACACAGATATTTAATGTTACCAATTACCTTCTAAGTACTCCTTTAATGACAATTCACAAATTTTGATACGTTGTGCTTTCATTTTCTTTTCTTTTTGTTGTTGTTGAGAATATACACAGCAGAACATAGATCAATCCAACAATTTCTACACGTACGATTCAGTGACATTGATTACATTCTTCAAGTTGTGCAACCATTCTCATGCTCCTTTTTTGAGTGTTTCATTCTGTTGTACATAGGGTACATGTCGGTATGTGTCAGAACTGACTTGATGGCACCTGACAACAACAAAACCTCCAAACCAAGGAGCCAAATCCCATGAGGTGTTTGGATGTAATATAAACAGCCTTAGCAGCTACTCTTTTTTTTTTTTTTTTTGGTCGTTGTTGTAAATATCACACAACTTTTGCCAGTTCAAGTTATTACAGGTATACAACTTATTGACAACAATTATATTAATTAGCTGTACAATGCTACCCTTAATCAATACCATTTTTCCATCACCGTAAACCAAAACTCTGTACTCTATAAGCATTTATTGCCCCCCCCCCCGCAACCGGAAACACTGGTGGCATAGTGGTTAAGAGCTACGGCTGCTAGGTCGGCAGTTTGGATCCACCAGGTGCTCCTTGGAAACCCTATGGAGCAGTTCTACTCTATCCTATAGGGTCACTATGAGTCGGAATCGACTTGACGGCAATGGATTTGGGTTTTGTTGTTGTTGTTGTTGTTCCCTCCTTCCTGCTTCTGGTAACCACTAATAAACTTTGTTCTCTATACATTTGCCTGTTCTTGTCTTTTTGTATGGAGCCCTGTGGCGCAGTGGTTAAGAGCTGGGCTGCTAAACCAAAAGGTCAGTTGTTGAATCCACCAGCAGCTCCTTGGAAACCCTATAGGGCAGTTCTATTCTGTCCTATAAGGTCACTATGAATCAGAATGGACTAGACAGCAATGGGTTTAGTCCTTTTATATAAATGAGATCATACAATATTTGTCCTTTTGTGATTGACTTATTCACTCAGCATTATGTCTTCAAGCTCCATCCATATTGCAGCATGTATCAAGACTTCTCTTACTGGCTGAGTAGTAGTCCATTCTGTATGTACCACATTTTGTTTATCCATTTATCCATTGATGGGCATTTAGGTTGTTTCTACCTTTTGGCTATTGTGACTATTGCTGCAATGAACACTGGTGTACAAGTATCTGTTTGAGTCTCTGCTTTCAAGTCTTTTGGGTCTATACCTAGGAGTGGAATTGCTGGATCATATAGTAGTTCTATTTTTACTTTTTTGAGGAACCACCACACTATTTTCCACAATAGTACTATTTTGCATTTCCAGCAGCAATGGATAAGGGTTCCAGTATCCCCACATCTTCATCGACATTCATTATTATTATTTTTTATCTTGGCCATCCTAGTGGGAGTAAAATGGTATATCATTGTGGTTTGATTTGCATCTCTCTGATGGCTGATGATGCTGAGCATCTTTTCATGTGTTTGATGTCCATTTGAATGTTCCCTTTGGTGAAATGTCTATTCAAGTCCTTTCCTTATTTTATGACTGGGTTATTTGTCTTTTTTTTGTTAAGTTGTGTTGTCCCTTCATTTAGTTCAAAATACTTCCCAATTTGACTTTTGATTCCTTTTTAGACCTGCAGGTTATTTAGAATTTTGCAGATTTTCCACAGAACTTTCTCTTACCAGTTTTTAGTTTAATTCCTTTGTAGTAAGATAACATACTTTGAATGACTTGAATCCTTTTAAATATGTTGAGACTTGTTCTGTGGTCCAGAATATCATCTTTCTTTGTAAATATTCCATATGCACTTGAGAAGAATATATATTTTGTTATTGTTGGGTCAAGTGTTCTATAAATGTCAATGGAGTCAAGTTGGTTAATAGTGTTGGGTAAGTGTACTATATTCTTGTTGATTTTCTGTCTACTTCTTCTATCAATTACTGAGAGAGGGTGCTGAAATCTTCAACTATAATTGTGGATTTGTTAATTCCTTCGTGTAGTTTTAGCAGTTTTTTGCTTCCCGTATTTTGAAATTTTGTTATTGGATTCATAAACATTTAGGATTGTTCTGTCCTCATGATGAATTGATATTTTTATCATCATTAAATAATATTCTTTATCACTGGTAGTGTTTTCTGCTCTGAAATTTACTTTGTCTAATATTAATATAGCCACTCTAGCTTTCTTTTGTTTACTCCTAGCATGGTATATATTTTTCCATATTTTTTCTTTTAACTTGTTTGTGTCTTTATATTTAAAGTGTGTTGTAGGTAGTATATTCTGCTTTTTTTTTTAAATCCATTCTGACTTTCTCTGCCTTTTAATTGAGTTGTTTTGACCATTTATATTTAATGTAATTGTTGATATGGTTATGTTTAAATTTAGCATCTTGTTGTTTGTCTTCTATTTGTCCCATCTGTTTTTTTTTTTTTTCTCCTTTTCCTGCTTTCTTTTGGATTCATTGAATATTTCTTATATTACATATTATCTTCTTAGTTAATAAGCCAAATAACTCTTTGTTATTTTAGCTGTTACTTAAGGTTTATAGTACACATATTTAACTTATCATAATCTGTCTTTAAGACATATAATAGAATATAATACAGCCATACTTTTTTTTTTACTTTATTCTATAATGTATTCAACTTTATGAGTGTACCAAAATTTATTTTGCCCATCCCTTATTGATGAAATTTAGGTTGGTTCCATATTTTACTGTTGCAAACCGTGTTGGATAAACATCCTTGTATGTGTTTGTGCACTTTTTCAAATATATATATGGAATAAATTCATCAGGGTGCAATTACCCAATTGGACATTTTTCTGATATTCACATATTGCTTGGCTGTTTAACAATTCATATGACTTTATCAAATTACCCAATATTTAAAAGATATTAATACTCTTATAATAAGTTCTACATTCACTGTGCTATAATTAAACATAGATAGCTGTTACCTTTGATAAGAGTATCTCATTTTACATTGTTTTCTTTTTTTCAGCTTTACAGGCAATTACTAATCTAGAGAATTTATTAAGAGACAAAGAGACAGAAGATAATGACCTACGTACAGACAGAAGTTCACATACCATGCTCTTCAGTTTAGCTGCTCAGTTTGCTCTAGAGGTAATTCATATGTATACAACTACTAGACTTTTACTACTTTTCTATTTTGAAAGACGTTAGTGTCATCAATAGTTAGGCATCATCAGTTACTCTTTGTTTTGCCTCATATCTTCACGCCAAGTTTTCTTGAAGAATTGCCTTCTTTCCTCTTAATTTCTTTTTAGTATAGACTAAAATAAATGATAAAACAAAGTGAGGTAACAGATTTTTACTTAAAACAACAGAAAAAATAAAATGAGCACAACATTAATTTTTAAAAGAAACTCTAGATTAAAAATGCAAATAAGTAGGTGTTTATTTGAAAACTTATCCTTCTCATCAATTTGAACAAAACAGTTTAAATCTCTGTGGGACTTTTTAGTTCATAACCAAAAAACAATTTTAATTTAGAGCTAACAAACACTTACACACTCTGCTTTTTACTTGCAAAATTCTGGTCTTTATATACATAAGATTAGGAAAAGTATAGTAGCAGCTTTGAAGCTCTCAGACAGGGTGTTAGACTGGGTTTGAGTACTTGCTCTGCCACTTTTGCCTGACTTCTTTAAATTGGTAATTTCATCATTTGCAAAAAAGGGTAATAATACATACGTCCAGGATGGTTGTGAAAAATAACTGGGAAGATGGCTGAAAATAAGATTTGTAAAATATGAAGCTCAATAATACATTGTTTCTGTTCTTATTATTACCTTACTATGCTTTGTTGTTTTGTTTTGTTCTGCTAAAGCCCTTAGTATAAAACACAGCTTGGAAAGCATCTTTTTTCACATTATTAATGAAGGGAGAAAGGAAAGAACTATAACCACAAAGTCACAGGGAAAAATAAACAATTATCTTTCTAGTGCAGGTTAGCCAAAGCAAGACCTGCAGGGGTCTAGGAAATCATCAAAAAGAACCTAGAATATCCACATTCTCTCTTGTGGGAGAATTTTGCAAAGAGATTTAAAGACGGGGTAGTTTGTTTTAAAGAGGGGAAAGTAATGTTTTACCTATTTAATATCCTATTCATACTACCCTCATCTAGACTCTCATCCCTCAAGACTGGATTATTACCATAGTCTCCTGTCTCTAATTTCTCCCCTCCAGCTACTCAGGCACAACCAGAATTATTTTCTCAAAGCACCACTTTACATAGATTACCATCAATGTTTTCTTATTCTGTAGAGAATAAAGCGTATATATAATCTGGCCACAGCTATATTTTCTACTTTATCTCATACTCCTCCCTTATATCATCATCATAATGATATTAGTCCTCATTATGTTAGTCACAAGATCAGGAATGGTAGAGGCATAAACCCTCCATCTCTCCAACCAAACCTATTGACTATCAAACAAGCTAAGCAGATTCCTTTTCCCATGTCTTGTTTATACCATCAGTCTTAGTTGGGTCTCTAGAGAAACAAAACTAGTGAAATGTATATATATATAAGTATATAGAGAGAAATTTACTTCAAGGAAGTGACTCCCAAATCTGTAAGTCAGACAGCAGGCTGGATACCTCTGCTGGCTCATGGAATTGCGAAGACTGGCTAATACAAAATCTGCAGGTCATGTGGCAGGCCAGAGACTTCTGCAAGCTTATGGTATGTCCCAAGAACTGGAGGTCAGGTGTCGGGAAGAGTGCAGGGTCAAGAGAGAGAGTGAGCTCTGCCGGAACATCCATTTATATTCTGGAGGCAGATCACAGCCCCAAGGAAACACCACTTTCAACTGATTGGTTGATCACATCAGATCACATCATGGAAGGTCATTATATTACATTCCATTACATTTTGCATTCATTCCATTTTGCATTCCATTGTGTCACATTCCATTCCATTCTATTCCATCAACCTGTCCAATATCTGGCCTAGCCAAGATGACATATAAAATTAATCATCACAACATACCAGCCTTTAAAAAATATTCTTACATATTTAAATGCTACTCTTTTAAAGCTCAACCTAATTTTACCCTGCACTATACAGACTTCCTAAGTCAATTCCAGTATTCGGTGCTCTCTTACTACTCTGAATTTTAATAATTTTTAACATGTATGCTAGTTATTTGGTCTTTATCATACGTACTGCCTTATATTGCTGATGTGTGGCTTGTCTGTCCAGACTGACTTGTGAGATCCTTGAGGACCATATCTCTAGCACTTGACCCAATATCTTGTCCAATGTAGTTGCTAAATAGCTTGATTGATATGTATTTTGATATTAATGAGTAGGATAATAGGACTCCTGGAGGAGGAAAAAGATTTGGCAGATAAAGAATGTATTTGTGTGGGATGGGGAGAAAGAAGAAATGAGAGAGAGAAATTCTGTAGCAGGGAGCCAAACGGCAATTTTTTTTTTAAAGGAAGGTTTATAAGGGGCAGCTTCTGTCCAGAAGTGATATGGAAAGGCAGAGAGGGTTAGGAGCTGGTTGAATGGAAATAGGGGTATCAGGGGTGGAAAGGAAGAGTGTACTGTAGCAGAATGGGGTGAGCTATTAGGGTCACATAACAATGTATGTATAAAATTTTGTATGGGAGACTAACTTGAAATGTAAACTTCATTTAACTACAACAATAAAAAAAAATGCCCAGAAAAAAAAAAAAAAGGAAGGTTTATAAATTTACATTTGATATAGAAAGCAGAAGAGAGCCAGTGCAAGAATTATGGAACTATAGTCTTGAGCAGGAAGATGATTTTAGTAAAGGAGAAACAATCTAAAAAACACTAAAGTAATTTAAATAAGATCATTGAAGGAAGGATGGATGAGCCAAACCCAGGAAATTGAAAATATACCTACAAAAGAACAAGTGTAGGGTTCCTTGTTCACTCTCTACAATTGCTTTACAAAAGGCACTTCAAGTGCCGAGGACCTCAGTCATTCACCAAATATTTATTGGGCACCTACTATGTGTCAGGCACTGTTCTAAGTTCTCAGGATAAACTGGTAAACAAAACAGTGATATGCCTTTTTAAATCTTATGTTTAAGCAGGAGGCAAGATAACAAGCATAATAAATAAGCAAATTATATAGTATGTTACAATTTGATAGATGATATAGAAAAAATATAGCAAGCAGGATAAAAAAGATCAGAAGTGATGGTGGGGTGGGATTAGTGTAAGTTGCTATTTTAAATAGAGTGGTGAGGGTAGGCCTCAAGGAGAAGATAAGATTTGTGCAAAGATCTGAAGTTGGTGAGGGAATTAGCTCTGTGATATCTGTGGGGAAGAGTATCTATTCCAGGCAGTACAAAGGCCCTAAGGCAGGTACCAAGAACTGCAAGGAAGCCAGTGTGGCTACAACAGAGTGAATAAACAGTGGGATTAGTAAGAGATGAAGTGAGAGAGGTAATGGAGAGCCTGAATCATGTAGATCCTTCTAGGCCAGTGGAAGGATTTTAACTTTTGCTCTGTCTTAGTCATCTAGTGCTGCTATAACAGAAATACCACAAGTGGATGGCTTTGACAAACAGAAGTTTATCTCTCACAGTCTAGTAAGATAGAAGTCCAAATTCAGGGTGCCAGCTCCAGAAGACTTTCTCCCTCTGTCGGCTCTGGAGGAAGGTCTTTGTCATCAACCTTACCCTAGTCTAGGAGCTTCTCAGCACAGGAACCTCGGGTCCAAAGGACATGCTCTCCTCCTGGCATTGCTTTCTTGGTGGTATGAGGTCCCCCCATGTCTCTCTGCTCCTTTCTGTCTTTTATATCTCAAAAAAGATTGACTTAAAACACAACCTAATCTTGTAGAGTGAGTCCTGCCTCATTAACATAACTGCTGCTAATCCCACCTCGTTAACATCATAGAGGTAGGACTTACAACATAGAGGAAAATCACATCTGATGACAAAATGGTGAACAACCACACAATGCTGGGAATCATGGAATAGCCAAGTTGACGCACATTTTGGGGGCGCACAATTCAATCCATAACATTCCACACTTCGACCCCCCAAAATTCATGTCCTTGTCGCGTGTAAAACGCATTCACCCCATCATATCATAGCAAAAAGTCTTAAATCAACTCAAAGTCCAAAATCCAAAAATTTTTCTTCATCTATGAAATCTAGAATACAAGTTATCTGCTTCCAAAGTACAACAGTGGAACAGGCACAGGCTAGACATTTCCATTACAAATGGGAGAAATTGGAGGGAAAGAAGGGATAACAGGCACCAAGCAAGTCAGCAGAACACATTACATTACCCTCAAGGCTTGAAAACAATCCTCTATTCTCTGAGACCACTTACACAATGGCCCTTCCCTCCAGACTCTAGGTATTGACCACACTCTCCAGATTCTGAGTGGAGACCCCTCAGCCCTGGACTTCAGCTCCGCCTTCCAGGTCCACTGGAATGGCAACTGTGTTCCCTCAAATTTGGGCAGCCCCCATTCTCCATCTGAGTGGTAACTCCACCATTTGAGACCCCAGAGGTCGTGGTCCTACCCTTCAAGACTGAGGCAGCTCTGTTTCCTATGTTGCTTATCTCTTCAGCTTCTGCTTCCTGGTTCCTTGACCTCTCAGCCCCTTGGGCCTCACAGCCCACGTCTGCCCTGCTGGGGCAAGTGTTCCAAAGCTCTGTAGCTCCACCAATAAGTACCTGGAGGTACCCTGCTCCGCCAGTAAACTTTGGCCAGAAGGCACTCAGCTCTCTTACTCATGGGTCAGAAAGTCTACCTCCACCAATAAGTGCTCAGAGGCACCCTGCTCCACCAGGGAGCCTCCTGCACAAAAGGCAGTCAGCTCTGTTGCTCCGTGGATTAGCTTCAGTGCTGTCTCTTGCTGGTCTTCTGGTTCTGTTGCTGCTTCTCACCATCTGCACTGTTTTTAGTGTAACAGCTCTCCTCACTTCCTTCTGAGTCCTCAACAGAATTGTCTTTGACATCCATAATTCCACCAACAGTCTCTTCAAGGCAATCTAGGCTTTTACTATTAGGCATTTTAAAACTCTTCCAGCCTCTATCCATTCACAGTTTCAAACTGCTTATACATTTTAGGTATCTGTTACAACAGCACCCCACTC